GGAATATTATTTGGTGAAAAATAGGAACAAAGTATTGATACATGCTACAATACGAATAAGCTTTGAAAACAGCTCAAGTGAAAGAAGCCAGTCACAAAGAACGATATATTTTATGATTTCATTTATATGAAATGTCAGAATTGGTAAATTTACAGAGAGAGAAAGATTTGTAGTTGTCTAGGGCTGGTGAGGAAACTGATAGGGTTTCTAGATTATAAAAATGTTCTAAAAATTATTGTGGCAGCAGGGTGTGCTGGCGTACACCTTTACTGCAACTATTCAGGAGGCTGAGTCAGGAGGATCTCAAGTCTGAGGCTAGCCTAGGCAACTTAGCAAGCCTCAGTCTCAAAATAAAAACAGCTGGGGATGTAGCTCAGTGCAAAGCTCCTGGGTTCACTACCAATCAATCAATCAATATTAGTGTGGTGATAGTTGTGTAAGTGAACATCTAAGAGAATGTGCACCCCACACACAATGGCCTTTTCTTTCTGCACATGCATACACTCTCTCCCTCCCCTCCTACACCCTACCAATGTCTTTCTCTCTCTTTTCCCTTCCAATCCCCATTTGCCAATAAGACTCACACTAACAAACCCAAGGAATACACTGTGATCTTGATACATCAGCTTTGCTTTTGCTCTGTCACCAGCAGCTAGTAAGCAGGACACCAGTACACTATGTCTCCCTTACTGCCAGGGACCCTTAAGTTCTCTTTCATCCTATCTAAAATCTTTCACTAGACTTGAGAAAAGAGGCAAGAACTTTCTCCATTCCTATTTGTGGTGATGGTAGGGATTCACAGCACAAAACAGCTCTTCAAAGCATCTCTCCCTCAAACATCAACAAGTCAGCCTATATAGCTTTGATAAGGACATAGGCTTTTTATAGTTATGGGACCACTCATATCTTTGGCATCTTACTTTGGCAAGTCATAGCAGTTGAATCTTGGCAAATCAGCTGGAAATTTACAAGCTATACTGGTAAATCATTAGGTTTCTGTTGCCAACTAAAAATTGAACCAAATGGCAGATACACAAAATACTTTGAGCAAAAAAGAATCATGTTAAAAAGATTAACTATTAAATAAGTTTCATAATATTTAATTGCGATATTCACGACCAAACCATTTTATTAGTAAATCACTGTAATTGAATGTGTCAAAACAAAGAATTTTACTGAAATGAAGAATGTTCTAGAATAATCTTTTCTTTTAAATATTTTATTATGAAATATTCCACACAGAAAAGTATAGAGATCATATGTCAAATATTGAGAAAGGGTTGTAAATCTCCCACTAGAAATTAATTTGTCAACTCCATAATTAATTTTGGTATTATATATGTTGAGACTATACTGTCACATATGTGCAACCTAAATATTAATGGTAAAAATGTTCCTTTTATCATTTTATAGTAAGCTCCTTTATGTCTTTTTTCCATTAAATTAGGGACTCAAATAAAATTCAGATTTTTAAAATTCACTGATTCTAAGTGAACTGTCTGATGAATTTTTATAAATGAATAGTACAATCCTATGACCCCCCCAAATTTCTCTTGTGCCCCTCTGTAGTCAATCCCTTTCCTGTTAGTGATCTATTTTCTATCACTATCTAGTTTTTTGTTTTTTCCTTAATTTCATATAAACGAAATCACACAATAAATGGACTTTCGGATCTGGCTTTTCTCACTTAAGAGTAATGGTTTCCAGGGTTATCCTTGTTCTCGTTATCAACTCATTCCTTTCTACTGCTAAGCAGTATTCCATTGCATGGATATGCCACATTTATCTATTAATTCACAAGTTAATGAGCACTTAGGTTATTTCTATTTGGGGCCATCATAAGACTGCTATGAACATTCAATTGTAAGTTTTTATAAGGACATATGTTCATTTATCTTGGTAAATAACTAGGAGCAGAATTGCTAGATCACCTGATAAGCATGTTTAATTTTATAAGAACACGCTGTTGGGGCGGGGATTTAGCTCAGTGGTTCTGCTGCCTATCTCACAAGCACAAGGACCCAAGTTCGATCTCTGGTACCAAAAAAAAAAAAAAAAGAACATGCTGTTTTCTAAAATAACTTCCTTCCCACAATGGCATAAAATGTTCTGGTCTATTCACATCTTTGCCAAACTTGGTATTCATAAGCCTTTTAATTTTGGCCATCCTAGTGATATGGAGTATCCCACTGTGATTTTCATTTTTATTTCTCTAATGACTAATGATGTTGAGGATCACTGACACCTATTTATCTCCTTTGCTAAAGGTTGTTCAGATCTTTTGCCTATTCCTTACTGGGTAATTTGTCTTTTTTATTACTTAGTTACAACGTTCTTTATATATTCTGAATACAAATCCTTTGTTACATACATTCATAAGTTTTGTATGATATAGTAATTTTCTTTTGTTACTTGACAAGTATATACTTCCCCATCATTTAATAGTGAACTTTCTTTTTCTTTTTTTTTTTTTTTGGTACTAGGGATCAAACTCGGGTCCTTGTGCTTGCGAGGCAGGCGGCGACACCACTGGGCTAAATTCCCGGCCCTAATAGTGAACTTTTTAAGAGTAGGTTTTAAGTTATGTCTCTTATAAAGACCAAATAGGAGGATTTTAAATAACATAATCTGACAATTACAATTATTATGTATTATTATTAATTTGGACTTATCGCTATCACTAATTTGTGATAATTTACTATGCTAATTATTCTGCTCTTTTTTCCATTTCTTCCTGTTTTCTTTTCTCTTTTCCTTTTTTTGGTGATTACCCTTAAAATGCTTAAATTCGTATGTGACAATTTTTCTAATAAAGTTTAAAATTAGTGTTTCTATCCTCCTATCCCAAGACAATATCATTCTTTACTTACCGAGTACATCGTTACATCTTTATTTTTTTTGGTACCGGGGAATGAACTCGGGACCTTGCGCTTGAGGCAGACAGCGGAACCACTGAGCTAAATCCCCGGCCCCCTACATCTTGCACTCTTATTCAGGACAGTATGATCTTAGATAAAATGCAAATTTTTTAAACATTTTATAATGTTTTAAATTCAGTACCATATTTTATCAATGTCTGCACTCGTTGTTTCTTGTATCTCATACCTTCTCTTTGAATTTACTTTCCATTCTTTTCTATCCTTTTTTTTTTTTTTTTTGGAGATAGGGTCTCACTATGTAGTTTAGGCTGGCCTTGAACTATGTAGCCTAGGCTGGCTTAGAACTTGTGGTGATCCTCCTGCCTCAGCCTCCCAAGTGCTGGGGGATTATAGGTGTGTGAGACTACACCTGGCTGCTGTAGTTCTTTCATAAGAATATGTTAGTTTAATTGTTGTATAGAAAAATGCAGGGTTTTTTCCTTGACTCTTGTAAGATGATTTGCCTGGTGTAATATACAGGTTGACATTTTTTCAGCTACTTTGCAAACAATCTTCTAGTAAATATTTTTGATAGGACAACTGCTGTTAAGTCTGCCACTCCTTTACAGATAATCTTTTACTCTCTGGAAGTGTTTTGCTGTCTGGAAACATTTTGTTTTGCATTGTGATGTGTTGTGCTTCATTTTTTTTGTTTTGTTTTCTTTTGAAACGGAGTCTTGCTTCATGGCCCAAGCTGCCTTCAAACTCTTGGGCTCCAGCTATCCTCCTACCTTAGCCTCCGAGTAGCTGTGACATAGCATACATCACTGCACCTGGCTTTCTCTGGAAGCTTTATGATTTGTTACTGTCCTTTATATTCTGCAATGTATCTACCTATAGATTTTTTTATGTCTCCTACTCAGTACTCAGTGTACTTTTAATCTGGACGTTCATGTTGGTCTGCATTTCTAGAAAAAAAATTTAACTATTATTTTTTCACCTATTGCTTGTCCTTTCTCCTCTGCTATTCCTATTAGGTTTATACCACTGCCTCTATATAAGGCTTTTATCTTTTCTGTGGGGTAGAGATGGGCGTACTAAGAATTAACCCAGGACCTGACACATGCTAGGCACCTGCTCTACCACTGAGATATACCCCAACCCTTTTTATTTTTATTTCGAGACAAGGTCTTGCTAAGTTGCCCAGACTGTCTCAGACTCCTAGTACAGACATTCACCACTATACTTAGCTATTTTATCACTTTTTATCTTTGAAATTCCTCAGTACATCAGTTAATTATATCCAGCCACAAAACAATGACTTAAAAAAAAGGAGAAGTCAATCCATGCCTGGTGCAGCAGCTCTATAATGCCATCAAGAACTCAGGCTTCTTTCCAAATAGCCACACTCGCCTCATGCTTGACAACTCAGTCACCACATAGCTGTGCCACCTCCAACACTAAGGGAATCAAAGGAAGGCAAAGTAGGGCAAATAGACAAGACATCCACCCATGTCTGCCCCCCTTCCACCTGCCTCAGTACTGGGAACTGAACCCTTCAGTTTTCCAGACTGCTGGCATTATAGGCGTGTGCCATTGTGCCTGGCTACCTGCCCCATTTTAAAGAGCTTTGCCAGAAGTTCCACCTTGAAACTTCTTTTGTATCTCACTAGCCTCTACAAGACAGGGTGGAAGATACGTTTTTTTAAATAATTTTTTATTAGTGTACGTTTACAGTACCTAATGATTACATTCATTATGGGGAGTGGGTACATGTAAAAAAATGTATCTTTTCAGTTTTTACTTTTGTGTGTGTGTTTGCAGTATATCATGATCACATTCCTTGTGGGGAGTTGGTACATAATCATATCATAATTCCTTTGTAATCCTCTCCCCCTCCCCTTCCCTAGGGGATACAGTTTTTGCTCCTTGGCATATTGCCAGCCTAAGCAAAATTCTGTTCTACTAGAAAGAGAAAGAATGGCCAAGAATTCCTTTACTGTTACTCAATTCTCTCTCTGTCTTGTCTAGGGTTTTTCTACTTATTAACATGGATTTTTGTCTTATTCTGTAGCGTTTGCAGTACTGTAAAGGATTGAATCCAGGGCCTTCACATTGAATTACATCCCCAGCTCTTTCTTATTTCTTTTTTTTTTTTCCAGGTTCATAATTTATTGTACAAACTGAGTATTACACGATGAGTGACAGCTCCTCCAGGCATGGGAACTTCACAGATGAAGTCAGATACTGTAAAATCCTAGCATGCACAATGCCCTGGGTTTGATTCCCAACACACTTATGTTGCTTTCACAGCTGGCGTTTTTCTTTTTTTAGACCTTAACTTGAAATACAAAATCGTCAGAGCAATGCCTCCATATGTGGCCAGTACACAATTCATTCTACCTGTGAGAGTGTAAGAGTTGAAATATTTTTTGATGCCAGTGAACTGATACTGGGCGTCAGCTTCTGGACCTGCCATGATTTCAGTCTCGCCAGAGCCACAAATTCCACAGCTGACGTCCTTCAACGTACACAGCTCCCTCCACCCTCTTTCTTCTTAGTTTGAGACATAAAACACTAAATTATCCTGGCTGGGCTTAAAGTTGGTATCCTCTTGCCTCAGCCTCCCAGAGTGCTGGGGTTACAGGCATGAGCCACCATATCTGATTATCCACCTAAGTTTTAAATTTTAGTAACTGTATTCTGGCTTTGAACTCACTATATAGCCCTCCCTGGCCTCAAACTTGCAGCAATCCTCCTGCCTCAGCCTCCCAAGTGCTAGGATTATAGGCATGCACCACCACACCTGGCTCATTTCCAAAATTCTAATTCACTTATTCATAGCTGGATACAGTATTTTTATTTCAGAATTTTTCTTATTCAGAACTCTTTTTCCTTTTTTGTTCTTTTATTCTACCTTGGAAATTCCTAAACACATTAATTTCCAAGTCTTTTTAAGATGTTTATTTCCTTTTCAATCTGAAGTGTGCTAATCTTCTGATATTATTGAGTCTGTGAATGGATATTTTCTCTAACATAAAATTTCTGTGTTTTTGCTAAATTTGCTAAATTTGGTTTAGAGGCTCTAAATAGGAAGTTCATTTTCTCTTTCTCTTTCTTGTTCTATTTCCTGCTTCCTTTCCACAAATCCCCAACTTTGTCCTTATTCACTTCTTCCTTCTCAAGCAGTTTTACTTTCTTCACACTGTCCTTCAGCCTCCAGGACAAGAACCAGGTTTCATACTGGCAGTGGTAGGTTCTTGCTTTGTATTTGATACTGGAGATTGAGCCTGGCCCAGATCACTCATCAAGAAGAGAGAACTTTCAGACCCAGATATTACAAGAGCTGTATTCCTGGGGCGTGACAGCCTTTCCAACACAGTATCCAGCAGACGCATAGATTCAGACCTACTAGCCACTTTACATTTCTAAACTCAACTATGCCTTTTCAGATTTTACCTTTTTAATACATGTATTTTCTCTATATTACTGTGTATTTGGATGAGACTGGATGTTTCAGAATGTGACTTTACAAGGTCATTTTGTCTGGAAGTCCTCTTAAATTCACATTGGTTATGACTTTCTATAAATATTCTTTCTATAAATATTATTGTATCTGTTTATGGTTCTCTGTAACTCTGTGTAATTAGCAAAGGAACTCCTTTCCTGGAAGGTGAAATCCTCTAGGACAGATGTGAGCAGTGGCATGCCTCTCTGGCTGCTGAACTGAGGCTCATGAGCACCTTAGTCTCTGAATTTTATTCTGATGGGGGGGGTGGAGAAATGGGAAAGAATCTATTTTGGTGATGGATGCTGGCAGCTACTTCTAGTTTCCAAAGGCATCTTCTAATGGCCCACACCCTCACAGTCTACTCTTGTTGTCAGCAAGAGCATCTAGTGCATAGCAGTGGAGGCAAGGTGCCTTCAACAGATTGTTCTTTGGCAGGATTTGGGGGAATGAATAGCCTCTGAACCTCTTAGCGAGTCTCTGATACAGTCTTTAATGATTGGCTTGTTTGAAAAGATTCAAAAAATCTATAAAAAGCTATGTAATATTTTTTTTTTCTTCAGTGCTTGAGACTGAATCCATGGACTGCACATGCTAGGAAAGTCCCCTACACTGAGCTATCTTCCAAGCCTTTAATTTTCTTAATGATCAAAGAAAAGAATAATTCATCTTTGTGAGTCTTACCTTTCCCCCAACCAGAGGCAAAATGTGCATCTTTCCAGTTTGACATTCCTTCACTGAGGAAACGATAAGGCAGGTGCCACAGAGAACAACTAGGCGCTCAGCCCACTTATGCAGCTGAGTCTTTCCCTTGCGAACATTATAGATACCAGACAGTAGGATTCGATCCAGATGATCCATCTGGCATGGTTTTTCTGAAAAGAAAAGAGTACATCAGAATCTACCATGAAGTAGTAGAATACAGAAAGGGAAAAGGAAAGTATTATGTGCCAACATTCAGCACCTTATTTATAGATCTAAGTATCCAAAGCAATATGAGATTTCAGTCCTAAAATACCCATCACCGAATTTATATAGTGGAAATACTTGTGAATTTCAGTCTACAGAGCAAGTCTTTACCTTGGATGCCACTGTTAACCCTTCCCCAAATAGATATCCCTTGTAGGTGGGCCAAGAAAGGCAGTACAGCATAAGGATTAAGATTATGCACTTTGGAGTCAGCCACATTTGAATCTGAATCCTGGTTCTTTTACTTACTTTGTTTCCTTGAACCACCTCATCCCACTGAGCATTACTTTCCTCATTTATACAGTGTGGATTTTATTATCCTATCAGTTTATATTTTATTAAGTTTCTACCTTCAAAGGGATCTTATAAGAAAATAAGATAATGTAAATCACTAAGGGTTATTTTAGGTACAAAAGAAATACAGACTAAATGACACCCACTATTGATATTAGTCTACTGTAGAAGGAAGAAAGTAAGAACTATTCATCTCTGTCTCTCACGAAGAAGAGCTTATGGATAATATTTCAATCAACTATTCCTGTCATGGTGGCAGGAGCTACCATAGGCATGCATGAGCTTCGTTCTTTAGGCACCCTCCTACCCATCAGAAGACTTCACAACAGATATACAAACAAAACTAAACACACTGAGACAGAAGAGATGTAACATTCTTGCTAAAACCACTACTAGAAACAGATAAATATAATACATACAAATGAGAGGAGCAGTATGAATGTGTAATCAGTAAACCTAGAGTTGGGAAAGCCAGATTACACTCCAGATATCCCCAAACAACTGACCATGTAACCTTGGGCATCACTTTGTCCACTTAATCATGTGTTTCCTCTAAGTTATATGAGAAAATGGGCTAGATTACTTCAAAGCCTCAAAACTCCATTACTCAATAAAACTTTACATGCCAATACTAAATATACTGGATGGTGGTCATTTCTCCTTTTTCTTTTCTTTCTTTTTTTTAAAGACAGTAGCCCAGGCTGGTCTGAAATTTGTTAAATTGCCTAGGCTAGCCTTGAAGTCACTATCCTTTTGGCTTAGTCTCCCAAGTACTGTGATCACAGGCACGTATCATCACAACTGGCTCTCCTATTGTAAACTGACCCCTTCTACCCATATTCTAAATTATATCTTCCTCAGGGAGTTTAGTTCTCGGATCTACATTTCCTAAGCTCTAAGTCTATATCTCTAACTACCTGTCAGACGTATCTAACTGGGTATTTACCACCACTTAAAATTAAATATGCCTAAATCAAGTCTTCATCATTCCTGCAAACAAGCTCTTTCTCACAAGTCAAGGTCTATCCTCTCCTGAAATCTCCCAGGCTCAAAATCAGTCACCTTCAACTTTCGTGTTTTTTCCCTCAACTCCCTTTTCAATGAACCATCAACTCTTACTGGTTGATTATTTCTTCAAAAATCTGTTGTAGGAAGGATGTTTCCCCATTCCCTATTAATTCACACCTGAATTAGCCACACTAGTACAAGATTTATCTTCCTCTGGTTCATTTGGATCCCACCACTTCCTCTCTCATCTGCCATATGAAGGCTAAACTGACAGTGCATTCATGGCCCAAAACAATCTGGACTTGAATTATCCATGAAAATTTCTAATCTCCTACTTCTGTCCTTTTGATTTCTGCTTACTGAAATTCTGCCATTTCTTAAAGAAGCAACTCATATATTACTTCTTCACAGACTCCTCCAATTTCTAGAGCTCTCCCTGATTTTCTAAGAACAGTGATAGGAAACTTTTCTATCATCTACCAAAATATATCATATATGTATATTAGTTAAAAGAGTTTGGTATCTGAATAAAAGACAACAGATCAATGCAGCAGGATAGAGTCCAAAAATAGACCCTTGCTTATACAGGAATTTAATAATAATAAAAGTGATGTTTCAAATCTGTAGGAAAAGGATGAACTAATTACACAAAGGATAAAGTAGTTATTTCCTTACCTCACACTATATTTTAAAAATATAAAAATACTGGAATAAAATATACAGTATTATTATGACCGAGGACAGTGGTAGAATATAAATGAATGAGAAAAAAATTATGACTAAATAAGAATTTTAAACTTTTGTTTTGTTTTTGCTTGGTTTTTTTTAAGACAGGGTCTCACTATGTAGTTTATACTGGTCTTGAACGCACTATGTAGCCCAGGATAGCCTTGAACTCATGGCAATCCTCCTGCCTCAGCATTCCAAATGCTGGGAATACAGGTGTCCACCATCATACCTGGCTAAGAATTTTAAACTTCTGTATAATACAGAAAAATAAGCAAAACTAAAAGGTATAGGCTAGAAAAAGTCCAGCGACAAATACAGCACCCAAAAGATATATATTCAGAATATTTATAGAAGTCCTTTAGATCAAATTTTAAAAAGAAACATAAATATCAATGGGTAATTCAAAGTAGAAGAGACCTGAAAGTCCAATGGAAATATAAAACAACTCTCAGTTATACTAAGTAAAACAAAAATGAAAACAATGAGACCATCATTTCATGCATCAGATTAATAAAGATTTAACACGTTCCTGCTGACCTGTACCACTGGTACACGCATGAATGTCCCATCAGGCAGCTTATACTACCTGATGGGACTGCCCCATGCCTCCCGATAGGATAGTCATGCATGTACTATGGGTGGTTCAGAGCCACTTGGCAGCAAGACACACAAATTATGGCCCCATAATGAGCATGTTAAAAAGCCTAGCTGGGCATGTAGTACATAACCCTAGCTACTGAAGAGGCTGAGGCAAGAGGATTGAGTTTCAGGGAAGCCTGAGCAATAGGCCCTGTCTCAAAATAAAATAAAAATGGCTGTGGATGTAGCTCAGTAGAAGAGTGCCCCTGGGTTCAATCCCCAGGACCACATACATACATACATAATATATATGGCCCTAATAATACTGAATGGTGATATTGTGGGTAAAGGGGTACTGATATACTGATTTAAAAAAAGTGTGCTGCAATTGTAACTAATAATATTTTTTTTTCTTAAATTCTTTTATTGGTATATTTTAGGTATACAACACATTTACATTTCTCATTGGGAACTTGGGCCTTTACATGATCCATCTTGGTTCTTATTTCTTCCCCATTCCTAGCCCTCCCTTCACCCCCTCCACTCTTCCCTATTTACAAAGACTTTATTTCCATTTTTTCCAT